GCAGGAATTTCCCTTGTTCTTGATATTCAAAGTCATCACACAAATTTTATTCCTAACAGTTTCTGTATGGTTATTTGTATGGCCTCTGATAAATTTATTATTTGTAGACTAAGATTTGGATAAAATAAGGTTACTTATGTCAAAAGCAGAAATAATCTTTTGACTTTATTGCAAAACTATAGAAATTATGCCTCGACGTGAGTGTTCTAAATAGTTCTCCAGAGAGTCATTTTTACTTTCGTCTTGATATTCAGGAGTAATTTAAAAAATGTGGATTCCACATTATGGCTCAGATTACATTACCGCGTAGTCTCTTTAAGTAATTGTATGATCAGAGCATTATTAAATAGGTGAGTGCATATACATAGGAATATTGAAAAAGAAGAGGCTTATAACTCATGCAGCTAACTGAAACTCGGTGTGGTTTATTGGGTCTTGGTTTATTAGACCGAAGCTACAGCCTCTATATAAGAGAATTTCACTCCATGTGTTTTCCCATATATTTGTCATGTACTAGATGACTTCTAGTTTAAGATGTAGGGAAGTGATTTCTCGCTGATTTCCTGAAACGTCACTGTCAGCATTTGGCTTTGCAGGAGCCTTTTCCCGAGAACGGTTCTCTGACCCTGGCCCTCCTGGTGTTACGTACACACCTTCAAGGTTTTACGCTGCTGTTCTGTTTTAGCTGAAAGAAGGAAGAAAGCTGGAAAACAGAACAATGTTGAATCTGAGAATGAGAATTTAAAGTGAAATAAAGACTCACGAAAATTCACAAGACGTATGTGAGGACTTCCAGCGCTGGCTGGGAGGCATTCTGCTAGAAAATTTCAGTATTAGGTGCCTTTGGTGCTCCTAAAAGCTGTCATAGCCGAGGAGGGGACACACGCCATTTACTGGAGAGGTGGGGAAGCAGGCGTCCACTCAGGGCGTTCAGGGCTGTTGGACACACCGGATTCTGTGGGGAGAGGAGCTGAGTGGAGAAGGTTCTTGGTGGTGGCTTCTGGAATTGACTCTTCATTCTGCTTCCTGATTTAGCCATTCTTTTACGGTGCTTTTTAGTTGTCTTCCCGTACAAATGTCAGTTCAGTACCTGTCTGTTTTACAAACTTGGGTTTAGAGCAAGTTACAAGGTAAACCTTTGGCGATGGTTAATTCGCATCGGTGCCCGCTGAGCTGTGCATTCAGAATGCCTTATGGCAATATAAAACTTTGCCTTTAGTTAAGGTCTGTTTATCAGTTTAGTTAACGTCTATTTCGTCCATTCTTGATCTTATCAGAAGCAGTTTGACTTTAAGTACTAATATGAGTAATTTAAAGTATTCTTTTCAAGAGAGATGCGTTCAGTTTATGTCATTTATGGTACTTTTTAAAAAAATAATTAGTTCATTTTGACGGTATTTATTTATTTTTTAATTTGACCAGAGAAGGGCAGAGCGAGAGTGAAAGTGAGAAAGAGAGAGAGAAAGTGAGAAAGCAACCTGCCAGGTCTGGGACTCAAACTGTAGTCAGTCATGTGGGAGTCCAGTCCTGTCTGTTTTACAAACTTGGGTTTAGAGCAAGTTACAAGGTAAACCTTTGGCGATGGTTAATTCGCATCGGTGCCCGCTGAGCTGTGCATTCAGAATGCCTTATGGCAATATAAAACTTTGCCTTTAGTTAAGGTCTGTTTATCAGTTTAGTTAACGTCTATTTCGTCCATTCTTGATCTTATCAGAAGCAGTTTGACTTTAAGTACTAATATGAGTAATTTAAAGTATTCTTTTCAAGAGAGATGCGTTCAGTTTATGTCATTTATGGTACTTTTTAAAAAAATAATTAGTTCATTTTGACGGTATTTATTTATTTTTTAATTTGACCAGAGAAGGGCAGAGCGAGAGTGAAAGTGAGAAAGAGAGAGAGAAAGTGAGAAAGCAACCTGCCAGGTCTGGGACTCAAACTGTAGTCAGTCATGTGGGAGTCCAGTGCCCTTAACCACCACGCCACCTGCCTGCTCCATTTGTGTTACTTCTTAAACACAGGTAGTTTCGTGTTTTAAAACGGTATCTGAGAAGGTAGCTGCCCTGTGCCCAGTGATTGTTAGGAGACCGAACCACCATGAGCGCAAAGCTCTTTCGAGTCCGGTTATTGGTTCTGTTGGCCCAGTTCTGGATTTGCAAGAACCCAGGAAGCTAGTTGGGTCCTAATGGATGTATTCAGAGTAGTCATACTTAGAAATCGATTATGATAGGATGACAGCTGAAAGGGGATCTCTTTGAACTTACTAGCCTTTTTTGTGTTTGCTTTCGAGGTTAAATGAACTACCTAGCTATCTAAGTATGGAGGAAACGGGAGTTGGTAACCAGAGCTGCTCAGCGAGCTTGAACTCGGAGCAGGGGACATGTGAAAACCATGAGTGATATTTCATCCAGACGGAAAAGAAATGTCTTCATTGTCTCCACACTGTCTCCATGTCTGGTGAAACATGGCTGCTGAGTGTGTCATTGGATCAGTACTGACACCATCATACGGTTCAGTTTTCCTTAGTTTTTTTCTTTTAGAGAGATTTTTGCTATAGGGTGTATCTACTCGCCAGAGAGACAGAGAGATAGAAAGCGAGAAATCACCCCCCAGAGAGGATGGCCATGCTGCAGTCACTTTCTCCTCCATTCTCCACTCGGGATTTTGGGCGCACATGCACACGCACCTGGTGTGAGTTTCAAGCCGCCGGGTCTGGGACTCAAACCAAAGTCCACTATGTGGGAGTCCAGAAATGTAACCATTACGCCATCTGCTGGCCCTCTGTTTTCCTTAATTTTAAAAACTAATTTAGAAGCTTGTCTGGCCTCTGTTATGTTACCACAAAGGTTACTTAAAACACTTTAGGAGTTTAGAGAATTTGGACCGTAGCCCTGAGGCTGTATTGACGAGTGTGGGTGTGAGCGTTTCCCCGCTTCTCCGTCCTGTGTCTGACTGGCCTCAGTTATGGCGCTTAGCAGATTGGCTACCGTAACTGGTGCACGTCTTTTACAGATGTAGCTCCGAAGGGCTTAGCATTGTCCCTGGTAGAGTAGAGGCCCTAGATTATTTTTTCTTTTCTTTCTTTACAAAATAATAAATAAAACAGCGGGACTAGCAGTTAGCGTAATGGCTATGACGCTGGACTTCCATGTAGTTGACCGTGGTTCGAGTCCTGGACCTGGTGGCTTAAACTCACGCCAGGTACATGTGCGTGCATTGCGGCATGGCCATCCCCCCTGGGGGTGATTTCTTCCTTTCTGTCTCTCTGTCTCTCTCTGTCTGGCGAGCGCACCCGCCCTGTAGCAAAAACCTCTCCAAAAAAAAAAAAAAAACCAGCTTTAGTGAGATGTAATATATTGAGATATAATTCACCTTTGTAAAATGTACAACTCTGCTTTTAGAGCATCATCATGACCTAATCCAAGAACGTTTTTATCACCCCCAAAAGTAAGCCTCCTGCCGATTCGCAGCCGCCCCCATTCTTCCCTCGCCCCAGGCCTAGCAGGCATGGTCAGCTTTCACGTCCCTGGATTTGCCGGTCTGGGTATTGCCTACAAGTGGAATGAATGGTTTATGGCTCCTCGCAGCT